GTGCCAGGGCGCTCACCGCCTCTCCCTGCCCTGCCAGCACCGGGCCCTGCAATGCCGTTTGGCTGCGTGACACTGGGAGACAAGAAAGATTATAACCAGCCGTCCGAGGTGACCGACAGATATGACCTGGGCCAGGTCATCAAAACGTGAGTTGGTCCCTCCCCAGCCCTGGGGGTGCCCCGGGGACCCCATCTACCTGCGGGCCCTGGGCTGAGGAGCAGCACGATGCTGCCTGCGGGGGCTTTCGGGGTGCCGGTCCCCAGCTGGCACGGGCAAGGTGCATTTTGGGGTGGCTGCCCCTAATTAATCCCTCTTGCCAGTGGGCATGGGGGGGTATTCACAGCTGGCTCCAAGGCGGGCAGCGAGGTTTCCCTGCTGCTGCCTGCTGCAGCCGGGCAGCTCCCTGTACCCCTCCCTCCTCCCCCTGAGATCTGTGGGGATTGCAGCAATTCCACACAATCCCGGCTCCCCCAAGCGCTCTGGGGAGGAGGAGAGCTCTGCTCTGGCAAAGGGAAGGGCAGGTATCATTTTGGGGGGGAGTGGAGCGCTGCTGTTTCCCCCCAGGTTTTTAACGCCATGCCAGGGGACCCGTTAGGAAGCGCTCCACGAGACAAAGCCCCCAGACCCACCAAGTGTGGGCTGACCCCAAAACACGCACAGGAAATTTTTCTGTCAGCCTCCAAAACACCAGGACTGCTTGGTCATGGGTCACACCTGGCAGGGTGATGCTGGGTGGTGGCGGGGACCTTTTTGGGTGCCCTCAGAGCTTTGTTCCAGCCTCTGTGCAGCCTCTCCCAAAGCCCATGGGTCCCAGTTCCCCTGCACCTGGGGCAGTGGCCATGAGGATTTTGTTGTGGCCGGGGCAGGGTGGATGGGGGGGATTGGAAAGCCAAAGACTTTGCCAGAGTGGTGCCAAGTGCCCCCCGTGGGCTCCCCCGCAACTCCTGCCTGGCCGATGGGCTTGAGCACCATTAATAATAGAACAGAGATATTGCAGCATCCCCGCGCAGCCAGCACATCTCCCCTTTTTTCTTCCCAACCGCGGCGTTCTCATTGATGTCAGGGCATGCTGCTGTTCTGCCTCGGCATGGGTGGCTTCGCAGCAGGTCCTGCCCCGGCTGCCATGGGGAGGGGGCTTTTTAATCAGCAAATTTTCCCCCTTCCCTATCAATTTGCTTATTCCGTGTTGATTCTTTCTCACTGCCCTTTCTCCCCTGCCTCTGCTCTGGAGAGGTTTTTAGCCACATCTTCCTTCCACCCCACGGCATCTCCCCTTGCCACTGGGATGGAGGGATGCTGGAGGGCCCAGGGACCACCTAAGCACCCCAAGCTTGGTGGTGTCCTGGGGGGGGTGACGGCTGTGGGCACCCTTCCAGGGAGGAGTTCTGTGAAATATTCCGGGCCAAGGAGAAGACCACAGGGAAGCTCTACACCTGCAAGAAGTTTCTGAAGCGGGACGGGCGGAAAGTGCGGAAAGCAGCCAAAAACGAGATCATCATCCTCAAAATGTGAGTGCCGGGGCCGGGGGCTCTCCCGTGCCACTTGGCAAAGCATGCCAGGTCCCGTGCCACCCCCTGCTCACCCCTCCGCCACCCTGTCTCTCCACAGGGTGAAACACCCCAATATCCTGCAGCTGGTGGACGTCTACATCACCCGCAAGGAGTATTTCATCTTCCTGGAGCTGTAAGTTTGGGGGGCACAGCGGGATCTGGCTGGGGGTGCCCCCGCTGTGGTGGTGGGGGTCTCAGCAGAGCTGCTGTCGGTAGGGCCACTGGCCGGGAGGTCTTCGACTGGATCCTGGACCAGGGTTACTACTCGGAGAGGGACACCAGCAACGTCATCCGGCAGGTCCTGGAGGCCGTTGCCTACCTGCACTCACTCAAGATCGTCCACAGGAACCTCAAGGTGGGTGGTGGGAGGGTGGGAGCTCCTGTGGGTGCTGGCATGCACCCCGCCCCGGCGCTCACGGCCCCTGTGCCAGCAGCTGGAGAACCTGGTGTACTATAACCGCCTGAAGAACTCCAAGATCGTCATCAGCGACTTCCACCTGGCCAAGCTGGAGAATGGGCTCATCAAGGAGCCCTGCGGCACCCCCGAGTACCTGGGTGGGTGAGAACCAGCCGGGCAGGCACGTGGGGTGGGTTGGTGCTGCTGGGGTCCCAGTGGGTCCCTGATGCTCCCCACTGTCCTGGGGGCAACCATTGGGTCCCTCCTGATGGTCACGGGTGCTCTTGGTGTGTCCCTCCCACTCCCCATCACCCCGGGGCCCAATCCTGGGTGCTCCCGGTGGGTCCCTCCCACTCCCCATCACCCCAATGCGAGGGGCTGGGGAGTTGGGGACCGTGGGCAGGGCCGCTCTCCTGTCCCTCGCAGCTCCGGAGGTGGGGGGTCGGCAGCGGTCCGGGCGGCCGGTGGACTGCTGGGCCATTGGCGTCATCATGTACATCCTGTGAGTGCAGGGTGAGGGCTGGGGTGGCCACGGGGTGCTGGGGGCCAGGGGCCGGCCTGAGCCCCCCGCCCTGTCCCCCAGCCTCTCGGGAAACCCCCCCTTCTATGAGGAGGCAGACGAGGAAGATTATGAGAACCATGACAAGAACCTCTTCCGCAAAATCCTGGCTGGGGACTACGAGTTTGACCCGCCATACTGGGATGACATCTCACAGGCGGGTGAGCCCTATGCCGGGAGGGGGACATGGGGTCCCATGTTGTATGTGTCCCCTGGCGCTGACTTCTCCCCTCGTGCCCCCAGCCAAGGAGCTGCCGCCTCTGACAAGAACATCAAGGACGGTGTCTGTGCCCAGATTGAGAAGAACTTCGCCCGGGCCAAGTGGAAGGTGGGTAGGGGCACCCAGTGCCTCAGTTTCCCCTCTCAGCGGAGCCCATTGCCCCATCACAGGGCTGTCAACCTTGGGGTGATCCTCCAGCCCCCATGACCCCACCAGCCCCCAGCAGGCATCCCCAGTGGGGGACCCGACGCACTGGTGAGGGACCCGGGGGTAGGGGAGCACCCACACCCCACGGCCCCCCACCTCTCCCCCTGCAGAAAGCCGTGCGAGTG